TATTCTCAACCTTTGAAAAGCAGAGCCTTTGTAAACAGAATGGCTGAACTTCAGAGCACTGCCTTAAGAGTTGTCACAACTAAAATATTTTCCAGAGATGACCCAGGAAACAATTTGATGATAGCTTACAACATCCATTTCACTGGCAAAAATATTAACACAATTCTGATGATCTCATACCATCAATATCACTTCACAACAGGATCAGTAGACACAGTGCAATCAGACAGGTCTCCATTGCTTGTTTTAGTTTCTTCTAGAAGTATGAGTGAAAACAACAATGGTCATATTTATGTCCAATTTTAAAAAGTGAATTAAAACGTAAATAAAATTTGAAAAGAGCAATATTGTTACTTGTCAAATTAAAAGGTGGTATCCATCAAACTTTTCTTTAACATAACAAATTATAACTAGTTTTTGTTTTGTTTTACATAGACTAAATACTAAGCAAGTTCTGACTGGTTGTTAATGGAAATGCAGAGTTGAGAGAGAGGAATTGCAACTGGGGAGGGACTTCAAATTGAGCATTTTTTTCCTGTGGAATCTTGGTATCTCTCATCTAAATAGGTTATGCTCCCCCGCACACCACTTCTTCCAGTTGAACCAAGAAATCACCACTATGGTACACTGCCAATACTGACAGAGATGTGGCAGCAAACTCACATATTAAAGTTGTCCAGAATGAATAACTTTCCATTTGTACTTGTAACTTACTTTTTATAAACAGCTTTTTACTGTCTGGGATCAGAACAAAATCCTGGCATTTTGTGTAAATGTCATGTGCATATACTATTTAACAAATGAAAATTATTTGACAAATGTACTTATTCAGCAACTGACATCTCTGAGCAATCTTTAGCTAAAATACAGTTAAGAAGTGTAACTTGAGCATGTAAGTGATATACATCAAACCAGAACCCTAGAGAGTTCTTCAAGAAAAAAATCAAAGCAAGGAATCCCACTGCCTTGAGACTACAGTGGTTTGGTGGTTTTGTTTTAATGATTCAGGATTTAAAGCAAATGGTCTAGTCCATCAGCAGTTTTTTCCAGTCTCCTGCACTGAAAAGCATCACAAAATGCCTAAGCAGAACCTAAGCACTCAAGTTTCTGCACAGTTTAGATTATATTAACTCAAATTCTTCCAAATCTTTTGCCTTGAAAATGATCCTAAATTGAATTAATTTAATAAAAAATACTAAATATCTTCCAGATAATAGTCTAAAATAATTTTAAGCATGTTTAATTCTAATTCATGAATTAAGTAAATTTCTTTTCAACTTAAATATAGGCATTAGTTTTTTTTTTTAAAGACTTATTTCTAGGTCTATATTATTTTCCAAAAGAAAAAAGGAAGCTAGAAATCTGACCCAAAAATGGTATATTCATGTCTACAGTTAAAAAGAGATTTATTGTTTTTTTCCAAATTCAAGTCACTCACTGACCTTCCTTTTCTTTCTTTTCTTGGTTCTCTTCAGCTGCAGTCTTGTCTGCTCTGAAGAAAATTCTTGCACTGCTCAGTGAGAAATAGAGCAATTCAAATTCCTAAATAAACAAATTTGAAATAAAAAGAAAAAATGCTTATTATCACAAAATATCAAGAATAAAAGAAACAAAACTAAAAAGAAAATATTTGTACTTTAATGTGTCTTATTATATTAAAACCCTCTGGCATAAATCATAAATAAACTAAGTAGCCTATCCATTATTAAGATCTGAATCAAACAACTTTCAAATATCATTAATCCTAAAATATACCCTATATTCATCTCACTTGTTTAAAATGGGGTTTTCCATATGGATTATGGTTTTCAGATATCAAAAAGCAAGTCAAAGCAGATTTGACTTTTACATTCCTCTACCTGTAGATAGACATCCAGTCGCTTCTGAGTGAGGTTCATGGTTTGCAATAGTTTTTCATCTTGACTAGCTGATTGTATGTTCTGTTGCTTAGCAACTGCTCTTATCTCCTTCAGGTATTTCTCTCTAACAGACTGGAACCAGTGAAGTGAATCAAACTCCTGGTACTGATCCAAAAGCTTTAGGATGTAAGCCACACCTACAGTCATAAGCAAAATTACAGTGAGTGTAGAGGTTGTATTCTATGCCTTCACCAATAACTCTTAGCAATAAGCTAACCATTTTGAATCAATACTCTTTCAAATCACATTTTATTTCATAAATGAGTGAAGCTACCGAGATGGCTTAATTTTCCTAAGAAAATATGTAAGAATGTAAAAAACTAAAGAAAAATCAAGTAAGAAGAAAATAAATAATATGGCCTGGAAAAATATTGGGCTATTGAGAGTAGCGAATAAAAAGTTCCACTGATAGGGCTGGGGCTGGGTCTCAGTGGTAGAGCACTTGCTTCACACAGAATGTGTGACACACTGGGTTCAATTCTCAGCACCACATAAAAATAATAATAATAGTATTGTGTTCATCTACAACTAAAAAAAACATTTAAAAAAAAAGTTCCACTGATAAAGAGCAAATGAAGAGGAAGTTACAGGGAAACTAAATACAAGATGCTTAAAACTATGAAAACCCAACAAAAACAAAGCCTAAGTGTTCAGTCAAGTTAGAAAAGTGATTAGCAATACTAACAGACTACTGAAATACAGTTAAAGATGAGGAGGAAAAAAAAGTATTGTCAGATGACCCCACAAAAATGAAACAAACAGTAAGCACTATCCCATGAAAAATCAATCTTTAAAGAGCACAAAAACCTATTTTTAAGTCAATATAAAAACATATTTTAAGATGAACATAAAAATCAGTGCGAAAATAGTTCCATTTAAGCTTACCCATGGCAAAACCATCATCAGTAAAGGCTGCTCCAATTTTATTTTTTTTATTCAATTTTTCCTTGCAACTAATGGAATGCTCTACAAAGTTGAGAGTCTAAAAGAGATATTAAAGAAACAACTGTGTTAAGAAAGTCTTTAGAATCTTCAGAACAGACATTTCAAAAACCGCAAAATAACCCTAGGTTCCTGTCTTTCGTTCTGAAACATTTGCCTAAGACAATCTCTTAGTGAGGACACAAATCTGTTCAAATGTCTCTTAATGGCTTTCTTTCCAAGCCCTTAAAACATGAGTCCTCCTTCAATCACTACTTAACCCAAGCACAGTGTATATGGTTCATTATAAAGTATGATACACATTTTAGAGATGAAAACACTGAGCACTGGGAGATTTAGCATCTTACCCAAAATGATACAAAAAGAATGTGGGGGTCAGAAATGGTCCTGCTTTATAACAAAATACTCTTAAGCCTATGCAGGAAGCTTTTACTTCTGCCTGCTTGATTCATTCTAAAATACTACTTATCATGTTTTTGGTTAAAAGGGATTAAAAGTTCTTTGGCTAAAGGGTGAATTCCTCAAAAGTAGTACTTCTCTTGAAAATTAAGCTTTTCCAAAATACCTTAACTAATCAATTTGTTCAACAAAGATTTACTAAAGCTACTATGTAACATGCATAAAAGAACTTTTGATTAGGAAAAAAAAACTAATTACCATCTAGAGTTTACACCAAGCAGCACTACTGGCACAGATTTTTTTTTTTTTCTGTCCAACATACTAAGCCGTTAGTCATATGTGGCCACTGAGGCTAGTATAACTGAGAAAGTGAATTTTTAATTTCATAAAATTAAAAAAAAAAACTTTTAGTGGCCACATGTGATAATACAAGGACAGCAGAGCCATAGAGGGGTTCAGAAAACATTGTTTAAAAATAATTACGATACAGTGATGAATACAGTTAACAGCCAACATTGAAAACAAAACATCAAGTTTCACTTTTATTGCCTGTGAAATTCATTTCACAATCACATATTTGCAAAATATTTATCAACTGTTATTTAAATCTTTTTTAAGATAGCTTATTTACATTTTAAAACTGTAAACTTGAGCACAAAGGTAGTGTTCTATACTTCTTGGTAGAGCTCTTAGTCCATTTGGAACTGAATTCTGTAAATCTCCAGGCTCCCCGCTAAGGTCACCAATGGTTTTCATTACTGCTACTAGGGCCTAAACATTTTTCCTCCATCTTAAAGAAATACAGTGAGAACTCACCCTAAGTGAACTACAGTGTTGCCACATACTAGTTTGGACCTAACCTAAAATGGAAAGATGCTTATTAGATGAATGTGGACATCTTTGCTCTACCATAGCTACTAAATTGTAATGATAACTAACAAGTATATAAAACAAAATTTATGAAAAACAAAAGCTATCAATAAGTCAATAGCTATTTCTGATAGGCAATAATGGTTATGTAAAATGTATGAAGATGGGTGTCAACAATTCAGGCAAAAATATGAAAAGTTGTTATTCTTGGTCAAAGGTAGATACAATAAAAAGCTAAAACTGCAAAGTGATATTTAGATTTTAGAGCTATCTATTTACAAATTGAAAAACTATTATAGAAAGCTTCAGGGAAGATTAACCTATCTAAACTTTTGACTCCATTTCCCCCAATGGAAAAATTGTCTTTATAATGTCATTTTTGTTAATAAGCTACTTTTTGATAGGGACTACAGAAATACAGAACATATTACATATTTTAATAAGGAGAAAGCACTAAATATTTAGGTATTGGTATTTACTACTGAATAGACAGAAGTTATCCTCAAATAACAGGCTTTTAAGAGAGATGTTAGAAAAAACTTTATATTAAAACAGCTGAAGTCAGTCTATGCTAAGCGATTAAAATGATTACATGGTATTATTCTGGCCAAAGATTCTATGGGATATGTAATGGCATATACTCAAGTAATTTAAAACACTATGATTTCTCTGGCAGTCTATAACAAATAATAATCTCTTAACTATTAAATAAGTTCAACATAGCTAATGAATAAAAAAAAAGTTGGTCACATTCACTGAGCTCACACTTAGTTTTACCTACAACCAGAAAGTCAGTAATACAGTCTGTGTGCATTTCATGCTTACAAGAAAACCAGATTTATTAATACTCTTTTTTCAAATTCATTTTAGGTTCTGAATATACTCACTAGAGGAGGAACAATGATATAGAAATTTCGGAGATGTATATTCTTTGGCCTTCGAAATTCTGGAGCAAAAACATCTACAAGCATTTTGAAATATTCTGTGCCTTCAGCAGAATTTCGTGTATGATCACTGAGGACCGAGTCCAAATGCCTAAAAACCAAACAAACAAAAATGTGTTTCCTCTTTTAAATAAGGTGTGGCCTTTAAAAAACAGTGTGTGCTTTTAGATAAAAGCACTCATAAGCAGGAAACATTATACAATTTCTATATAAGTTTTCTTGGAGTTCACAATGAAATAATTTTCTTATGGACAGAAACTAATTAGAATCATCTAGTTAACTTAATTATTAAAACAGAATAGAGCATCCGGGGACTTAAAATGATAAGGTTCTGTATTTCTTTTCCCCACAATGAGCCCTGTACAACATCTCATTGTAAGTAAAGTCTTCATTTTAAGTCTCTTCACTAGTCCTTCCTCTACATCTCCTTACCTCAACTTAAACCTGGCCTTCTTTCAAGAAGCTTTTCTTTCAATCTTCAGAAATATTAGCTGCTTTTCCTCCTGAAATCCTCATGTATACTACTTCTACATGTTATTCCTCCACCAGAGGAAGGCAGAAATCTCTCCTTTAATCCAACTACATGATCCAACTACAGATGCTCCTCAACCTACAATGGGTTTGCATCCTGATAAATCCACAGTAAATTGAAAATAAAATAAAATAAAAATGTGTGTACACACGTAGCCAACTGAACATGACAGCCTAGCAATGCAGTATACTGGAGTATATCAGTTGTTTCGCTTTCTGATTGTGAGGCTGACAGGGAGCTATAACTCACTGTTCTGCTCTGAATCGCACAAGAAGTTCATAATGCAAATTGCTAGCCCAAAAAGAGATCCAAATCCAAGACATACAGGAGCTAGGGATGCAGTTTAGTGGTAAAGTACTTGCCTTGAAAGCACCAGGTACTAGCAAGCACCAGCCCTAAGCTTGATCTCAGCACCACAAAAACATAAATCAAAATAATCAAAGTATAATTTCTACTGAATGCTTTATCATTTTCACACCATCCTAAAATTGAAAAAAGAGTAAAGTTGAAAGTAAAATAAAATGGTAAGTTGAGCCATTATAAATCAGTGGTCATCTGTATATTCATCTACTCTTTTGGAAAGCAAGCATCTACCAACTTTTAGCCCCTACCCTAACCTAGGACTAGGATGCCTTCCCCAGTTCTCTACTGTTTATGTGGATAATTTACTCATTACCATGACCCCACAACTCTTGGATTTCATCTGCCATGACATTTCTTCACTTACTATTAACCATTCTCTCCCTTGCACAAATGTGGATCTTTCAGTTAGCAATCAGCTTTACCCTAGATATCTTAAAAACCAATATCCTACTGTAACTTCCTTTGGCTTCTTCAAAGTATTTTTTAAACAGTCCCCAATTTTGAAGAAAATGATGACATTTAAGAGGAGATAAATGGTGCAATTTTCTTTCTTTGGTATGCAAGCCGCAACCATTTTAATCATTTTCATGACTTCAAATGACTTTAATACCTGTCTTCTGAAATCTAGTAAAGCACACTATGCTATCCAGTAGGATACTGCAGAACAAAGCTTCTGTGTTCAGGTCATGTTTTCATTAAAATGTACACATATATTTTCTGGTATATTTTAATATTTTTATTTTTAAAAATATCAAGCCTATAAAAAAATTAAAATATAGTATAATGAACCCTGAATGCCCTTAATTAGATTCACACTTCTTCACAATTTGCTAGTTTTCTCTATTTTTCAGAAACATTTCAAAATTGCAAACCTCATGTCACTTAGCACATAAATACTTCAGCATTACTCTATTAGAATAAAGACATTTCCCTAGAAAGCCACATCAGTACACCCAAGAATAAAATATAACATTATCTAATACACAACCCATTTTTCAAATCTCCCCAATCATTCCCCAAATGTCCTTTATAGATAAATGTTTTCTTTACCTGGATTATGATTAAGGACAACCCCATTACATTTGGTTATCAGGTCTCTTTATTCTCCTAATCTAGACAGCCTCTTTGCCTTTTTGGTCTTTCATGACATCTGACATTTTTTAAGAGTCTAGGCCAGGTATTTCACAGAACGCCCCACATTCTGGATTTCTCACATTGCTTCTTCCTAATAAATTCAGAGAAACACTCCTAGGAAGAATATAAACTAGGTGCTTTTCATTACATTACATCAGGAGGCCATATAATATCAGTCTGTCCCATTACCAATGTGCTGTTTTATCACTTGATTAACGTTGTAGACATCTCTTCTACATTGCAGATAGCTTTTCCCTGTGTGATTAATAAGCAATTTTGTGGGATGATTTTTGAAAATGAGTTCTCTGGTTTCCAAAAACTTTTCACCCAACATTTAAGTGTTATAATTGCAAAATGTGATGTTTTTTCCCCTTAATTTTCTCATCTGCTTTATGTTAGCTGCCATTCTTTTGTTAAAAGAAAAAAACAACTCTGTTTTAACCTTTCTTATTATCACTGTAACTCATAGTTTTTTTTATTCAATGTTTTATGACCTATTTCTATCATTACTCTTTTTTTTTTAAGCTGTAGATGGACACAATACTTTTATTTTGTTTATTTTTATGTGGTGCCAGGGATGGAACCCAGTGCCTTACGCGTGGCGAGGTAAGCGCTCTACCAATGAGCTGCAACCCCAGCTCCCCATTACTCTTTTTGACATTCAAACTGTCTCCACTTTGTTCAGAGTGCCCCTTCATATCTGTTTCAATAAAGTGCTATAAATATTAAAAATAAAATCTATAATTTTCTAAACAAATTCTTAATTTTTCTCTCAAGTTTTATGTTACAAAATCACTAATGACTCAAGCCTGTAGATCTGCACTACCCACTAAGATCCCTATCAGTAGTAAAATGAAAAAAATTCAGTTCCCCAGTCTAATCTGCCATATTTCAAGTGCTCAACAGCAGTGTATGGTATGGTAGTGGCTGCTCTCCTAGAGGACTCTACTATGCTGCTTTAGAGGACATGAAAGGAAGAAATGGCATTCAAAAACAGTGCTAATGAATAGAAATATTTTTAAAGTAAGAAGAAATAGGTAAAATGAATTTTACGAATGAGATATCTGACAATCCTTTTCTTATACTAAATCTTTGAGATAAGTTGTTTGACCCAAACACATTTCAGGTGCCTAGAGTCATATGTGGCTAGTGAGTTCCATACTAGACAGCATGTTCCAGAAGATGCCTTTTTAGTGAAGTTGGAAAGATCCTAGAATGCCATAAGTCTCTAAAAAACAATGTTATTTCATAAACTGAGACCATACAAAATTTGCATAATAAAGATCCTGGCATATTAATTACATATTACCCTCTAGTCTTCTCATTAATGTTTTATATAAACACACTACTTTAAACTTCCAAATTTAGTTATTCCAAAATTAGACTACCTTGCTGCTTTTAATGTTTCTTCTGAAAGACCTTCTTCTTTCACTAGTTCCTCAAAGTTTACAATATCTTCAAGATCAGGCACAAATCTATATAAGAATTTGGGAAAGAATTTATTAGAGCAACTGACACAGACATAAAAGTGGTACCATAGGACTCAAAATTTTTCAATTATGCATTTAGGAAGAACTCTACATTTCAGTAACATTGTTAATATCACCACTTAAGTTCCAAATCAAATTTTAGACATGATCACATTTTAATCCTTAAAATCACATACTCTTTAGATCCTCTTGTTTTCCATACTGACAAATAAACATAACTACAACCTCAAGAGAAATAAAGATTTCAAAAGTATAAAGCAAAGAAATCTAGTAGAAGTAATGGTTTTCTTTCATATTAGAATTAATGGATTTTGTCTACATTTTATCTCAAAATATATTAACACAAATAAACACCTTCTCTATAATCAATAAACAGATTTAAGTAACAATTTTCAAATAGCACAAACAAGGCAAAAATGATATTTGCATCCATACCTAATGGCATTGCTGCTACAATGAAGACCACCAGATCTTATCATTCGTACATAGCCCATAGCATTACCTTAAAAACCACATAAAAAAATCAGATATTTATATAAATAACTCTAAATTCTATAATCAGGAATATAATTACATACAGTAGTCAATTACAAGGTTTCCACTCCAAAGTACCAAAATAATCTGCTACATTTTAGTTCTGTTCAGTGTTCCATTAAAAGCAAAGCTGTTAACATATTTCTGTACTTAAAAGTTATATACATCCACGTTAAATATTTAAAATAAACCTAACTTTCAACAAACTAAATTCATTAAATGCTATGTTAAAATGATCTAAGAGTTTTAAATTCTAATATCAATAGTTTATTTGCTTTCACACTGAAATCCAGTTTCCTCTTTTTCTCCCTCCCTCTTCAACAACATTTACAGTTATCATCCTATTCCTAATTGCCACATCTTGCCTAGAACACTACAATATGCAATGGTTTCCTGATTTCCCTACCTTCACCATAAGCACTTTGCCATATCCTTCAATCTTTCATTTAACTAGCAGCTAGTTACTGTTGGGAGCAGGGGCAGTACTGGGGATTGAACTCAAAAGTGCTTAACCACTGAGCCATATTCCCAGCCCTTTTTCTTTTTTATTCTGAGACAGGGCCTCACTAATTGTTTAGGACCTTGCTAAGCTGCTAAAGCTGACCATGAACTTGGAATCCTCCTGCATCAACCTTCTGTGTTGCTGGGATTACAGGTGCACACCAATACACCCAGCTATAGCTAGTTACTTTATAAAAACTAAGTTGGAGCACATCATACCTTTTCTGAAAACTCTACAATGGTTTTCCATCTCAATAAAACCCAAACTCTGTATGTTCAACTTCAATATAGCCCTGCATTTTCCTACCCCTAGATGCTGTTCTGCTATCACACCTTGCCAATCAGGTCTTCACTAACTCCATTCCAGCCCCCAGCCAAGTCCTCATAATGCCAAGCAGACTCAAGAGTTTTGCAATTGACTGTCAACTGTCAGGTATACTTTTTCCCTAGATATGAACAAGGTTTATGCCCTCATTTTATTAAGTCCCTGTTCATATGTCACCTTCAAAAGCTTTCCCTGAATATCACTGCATAATGCCATTACATAACCTCACCCAGCACTTATCAGTGACTTATTATCTTTTTGTTTATATCTCCCCCCACTACAATGCAAGATCCATGAGTACAGCCTTTGACTTCTTCATTGCTTCATCCCTAGAGTCAGCAAGTCCTAGCACAGGGTAGGAATTCAATACAAAATTGAAGTGAATTGAAATTATTTAGGAGAGAACAGATAAAAAGGTAAGAAGCAGTTAACATTTTTTAACCATTATGGTAACATATGTTTTGACATTAACAACCCTACAAGGCAGGTATCACTGAATCTATCTTAAGGCCTGTCCCAGTGGGGTTTTTGAGGTTTTTTTTTTTTTTTAAAGCACATATTAGAAAAATCAATTATCTAGTTTTACTATTTTCCTCCAAACTGTCAGACATATGTCTGGCCAATTGAAATGTGAGAGGTAGATACAGAGCAATGGTTAGGAGCAAAACTCTGAAACCAGACTACTTGGGTTCACATTCAGACTCTGCCACTCATTAGCTGGAAGATCTAGGTCAAATTATACAACTTCTTTTTATGTCAGTCTCATCTATTAAACTCTAGAAGGGCAGAGATCTTTTTTACTGTCAAAATTCTGATATTAGTATGTGAAAAATGAAATTTAAGCAATACTGCTCCAAGGACAGCTCTTAATCTGAGGTCCCTAGACCCACACTTAAAGCACCTGGACTCCTGTACCTTATATACAAAAGTATAAGTACATACAGGCTAATATTAGTTCTAGGAGAAATCAATCCAGAATTTTCACCAGATTCTCAAAAACTAAGAAATACTGCTCCAGAAGTGGCCACCTAATATGATATTAAATGATATCATATTAGAAAACAATACTCCCTGAAGAAAACAATACTCAACACCTTATATTAAATGGTTTAAGATAAAAAATTTACAAAGCTAATATTTTTGTACTATCATAGAAACATTTAATATCCAAACCAAGCAATCTATAAAACTTAAGCTACAATTCAGTGATGTTACTCTAGCACTAAATACTTGTAACATATTTCCTACTAGTAAATTTAAAGCCCCTTGGGAGCAAAGATTGTCTGCATCCCCAGCACCTAAAAGAACATTCATCACAACTGATGCTTAGTAAATGTTTGATAAATGAATAAATGAATCTCAGAAGGCAAAAATTTCCCAAAATATAGCTAAGAAGATATTATTAAGTGATTGGTATCATTTAACATAAAATGTGAAGAATTTAAAAACACCTCTGGACTTATACCTGAACAACCTTGATTTAAGCCTCAGCAACACCATTTTTTTTTCTCTAAGTCTCTTTTTCTTTTACTCCCTCCTTCTCTCTCCTTTTCTATTTATTTATTTTTAGTTCTAGAGATTTAATCCAGGGATGCTTAACCACTAAGCTATATCCCCAGCCCTTTTTTTTTATTTTGAGACACAGTCTCACTAAGTTGCTTAGGGTCTCCCTAAGTTGCTGAGGCTGGCTTTAAACTTGCAATCCCCCTGCCTCTGCCTCCCAAGTAGCTGGGATTACAGGTGTACACCACCATGCCTGGCCTCTTTCTGCATTTTAAAAACAGTGATTACAGTCTCTCTTTCAGAATTATTGTAAGGACATTAACAAAGATAATATGTGAAAAGCCTAAATAAGTATAAGATTTTATTAAGCTATGATTATTTTTAACTGCTTTTAAATGTCATATACTATATTTCAGAAGACAAATTCCACTTGTTAGTTCAAATCATATGCACATGTATAAAAGGGTGCAGCATCAAAAATTATAGTATCCAGTATTTTATCTTTAAATTTTTATACAGCTTATTAAATTACTAACTTTTCACGTAAATTCATTATACTCTTACATTTAATGTGAGAAAATCTCTTAGAAGCCCAAAACAGTGCTTTGAACAGAGTAGGTACCCAGTAATTACTAACCAGCAGACTATCAATTATGAATATAATCTTTGTGAAATGTATTAAGTATATTTTAAATTTGTGATCAGTCTATCAATTTCTTCTGTAGCAACAGTAATTGTGTTAAGAAAATTACCCCAGTGAAATAAAACTAAGTTGAGACATTCACATAATAAGCTGTTTATTAGCATGACCTATTTAATATATGAGATTATTGGGCTTTGTACTTTGTTTCCCAACACTTTTATAGTAACTTACCAATTTGGCTGATGAGTTGCCTGAACTGATCAAGATAGCTCTGTCCCTCTGGTGTTATTCCAAGTTTTCTGATGCCTCGATTGAATTTTTCTGCTCTATCAAAAGGATACTAGAGAGATAATTTTAAGACTACCTTTAGACCCCTAAACCATAAAATGCCTACTAAATCAATTACGGCAATAAACTTTCCTGTCTAATTTTGTATCTCATCATGCCTTCAAAAAGATACCACTCACGTCTAATGACATAAAAGTTGTGTGAAAAAAAAAACACTATTAACATTCAGTTTTTTTTTTCTTTTTGGTATTAAAGGTATGCCACTAAATAAGTTTTACTTCACAAATTACTAGTGTCTAAACACCTCAAAACTCTTATCAGATTGAAAAAGAACCTTATTCATCCTAGAAACATTTGTTTCTAGATGTGTCAAGTTTCTGTGGGCTAAATAGGTATCTGATATTTATGAACATTTTTTTCCAATGAAAATACATCAAGTGGCTTAAAATTTCTAGGTGCCATCAATAATAAAA